AGCTCTGCAGGTCCCTTCCAAAGTGAAGGGGGRCTCGACCGCCACCCCTGTGACCGACACAGCTGAGCAGTGCCGTTTCAGCTGTCACCCGGGCTGATGCTGGCCTCAGCGGATGGCCTCAGCTGAGAAGTCAGGCTCTTTCCCTCCTTCCTGACGAGGATGTGTTCCTCCTTAGCCTGTGCTGGTGCTCGCCTCCAGATCAGACTGATCTCCCTGTTTTTGTGCTCATAAAAGCCAAGAGGAAGCGGCCACAGGCTGCGCTGCCACTGCAGAGGCTGGAATCAAGGCAGCACTGGAGCACGCAGGAGCACACGGTCCATGCGCTTCACAACCTCACGGCAACATGGGGCCAGCCTGGTTCTCTCAAAGTAAGCCAGCATGGACGTTGGCAGCTTAGATGCACAAGTGGCGTTCAGCATATGTAGCCTCTGCTGAGAAGCTGGATAAATTTGCCTGTTCTACTCTTCGTGCCATTCAGACATGGAAACGGCATAGCTATACATTACATGAAGAAATATCTCCTTTTGTTTGTTTTGTGTCTGGCACTCATGGAATCATGGCTGGAAAAGACCGTTAAGATCATTGAGCCCAAAAGGAAGCCCTTCAACACCAAGCCTGTTAAACCATGTCTCTGAGCGCCTCATCTGCACGTTTCTTGAACCCCACAGGGACGGTGGCTCTACCACTGCCCTGRGCAGCCTGTTCCAGTGTTTCACCACTCTTGCCGTGCAGAACATTTTCCTCATATCTAACCTGAACCTCCTCTGGCACAACTTGAGGCCATTTCCTCTTGTCCTGTCACTAGTTGTTTTGCAGAAGAGATCGATCCCTGCCTCGCTGCAACCTCCTTTCAGGTCATTGCAAAGAGCGATGAGGTCTCCCCTGAGCCTCCTTTTCTGCAGACTAAATAACCCCAGCTCCCTCAGCCGCCCCTCGTAAGGTCTGTGCTCCAGCCCCTTCACTAGCTTCGTTGCCCTTCTCTGGACATGCTGCAGCACCTCCATGTCTGTCTTGTGATGAGGGACCCAAAACTGAACTCAGGGTTCGAGGTGCAGCCCCCCCCAGTGCCCAGTACAGGGGGATGATCCCTTCCCTGCTCCTCCTGGCTACACTGATCCAAGCCAGGAGGCCGCTGGCCTTCTTAGCCTCCTGGGCACCCTCATGTTCAACCGGCATTTTCATCCTCAAGTATTTCATCCTTGTTCTTGTGTAGAAACAGACTCAGGCAGTCAGTCACCTACTCCATGCCACTTAGGCTTTGTAGACCTCTGTCAGAGAGATCTCAGTCGTCTCTTTTCCCGGCTGGAGAGTCCTAGTCTACCGAGGCAGCCCTTACACAGGATCTTACCGTTTGGAAGTATTCCGCTTTGCCTGAATCAAAACCGGCAGCTTTGCCAACCCCAGCTGAGATCAGAGGGCGGCGAGGAGCGCGCCAAGACCCAGACGGCTCTGCGGGGAGGCAGCGGGAGCCGCRGAGCGGCCCTGCGCGGCTCCCGCTCCCCTGACACCTGCGCTGCCTTTGACTGCCGCCCGCAGCAGCCCTGCTTTGCACGAGGSAAAGGCCGAGCACAGAGAGCGTCGCCGAGCGCCATTTTAACAACGCAAGTAAGGCCGAACATCCAAGGAACTGGTGCAAAGGGAACTCCGTTAGAGAAACCCTCACGTTCCACTCACTGGTTATCCTCGTAAATTAAGGTTTTTAGGACATTCAAAGGATAATGATGCAAATAGGTAGCTTGGGAGGGACATCAGGGTAAGAGGCCAGGGCTGGGCCGCCATGGGGTGTTCACAGGTTTTGCTGTGGGGCTTGCCTGCATAGGAGGAGCTCAGCTCCAAATGGYGAGATTGCCTAAATGTTAATAAACCTTTTGAAACGCGTTTGCACACACTTGTGTTTTTCAGGGAATTTTGCCCCACTGAGGCAGATCCATAATGGAATACAGGCCCTTATGTCAGGGGTAATCATGTGTTATTACGAGAGCTGCTGGCTGTGGGGCCCCTCCTGTGCGCACACATGGGTGCATATGGAAGTGATTAACTTATTAAGCTCCAGCGGAGGATTTTGGGAAGTTAACCGGCGAGTCTCCGGAGCACGGCCAAAGGACAGCTTTGGGGGGAGCGCATTAAGAGCAGTTTCCTGCTGGATGCCTGTGCCGTGTTGGAGCTGAAATACAAGCTCTTTGCAACCTGGTAGAGGAAACCTCTCTCACAAGGACTAAACTTTTCAACTCTGGCTGTTAGGAAGAACAGTTGAAAAAAACCATCTGCAAGCCTGTGTAAGTTTCCTCGACACACTGAAATGAGTCAGCTGCAGAAATGTATAACATAACATATAAAAATGCAAACAATTTTCTCCTATTCCCTGAATGGTGCTCAAGAGGTTCTGAGGAAGTTTGTAATTTCTTTATAAGCCTCTTTAGGAGCCACCAAAAGAAATGTTTGGATTCAGGCCACTAGGACCTGCTCCTACATGGAAGAGGTCTAATTCAGAGTAGGGTGTTTGAAGTGAGGGCCTCACACTCACCAACAGCAGCAATAGACCTTAGTTTGAAGTCACTCCCCTGAAGTAAACGCTTACATTTTAATTCAGTACATTAAATATATATATCTTTTTTTCCAAAATCCAAGCAGAAACCAGCACCATTCTCTGTAAAATCTGCCACATCCAAATCACTGTCACACTCTTTTCCTCCTCAAATTGGGTTCTTTGCTTGCACTGGTCCTGATCACTGAAAAGGGACCTCTCCTCTGGAGCAATGCAGAGAGTCACCCATAATGCGCTTTAAACCTTCCTAATATAACAATCCTTGGCAGTCACTCACTGCATTTCATCCACAGATCTCAAATCGATTCGCTACAGCCCTGCATGGAATTGACTTACTTGTACAACAGACACAAGCACTTGCTGTGCAATTAAAAAAAAAAAAGGCACAAAACCCAGCAGATTTCATTAACATCCAACCAGTCCACACTCCCCATGCCTCCCTTTGCGTGATTTTATTTCCTCGCACACGATCCTGCCCCCGAATGCCGCCRTGCCGCAGCCCTCGGCATGCAGCCGCGATGTGCACGCGCAGCCAAACGCGAGCGGGTCACGGCCGGGTCAGGGCAGGCCGCTTCGAAGGCTCTTCCCTCAGCAAGTTGTAGCGGCTGCCATAAAACAGGARCATTCCTGCGCTCGGTGATAAACGTGAACGACATTAGCCCATTCCCCCCTGCTCCCTTCCCAACCCTCCCCGTCCCGCGTTTCTGGAGGAGATGTGGGAAGACGGCCAAMATGCCTCGGATACGACATCTCCAGCGGAGGAGTGAGAAGACGGAGACGGTGCCTGGGATGGCAGGTCCCAGCGCCCTCCTGGAGCGGGGCTAGATGCCTCCTCCAGCCGAGGAAGGGGCTGGGGGCCTGGCGCGCACCTGGACACGCAGCAAGGCGGCCCAGCTCGCAAAGGAGGCAAGAAGAGCGGTGTTGCCTTTTCCGGGGCACGGCGCCACCTGCCAGGCCTCGCTGCGATCCCGGGAGCACGCGGCCGCTCCGGCACGCGGCTCCTGGCACCCAGCCCAGCCTTCCCGCCGGAGGTGGCTCCGCAGCCACAGCCTCCGCAGCATGCGCGACCTTTCGCGCCGCCTCCCCTCCGTAGCGCGTCCCACCCCTGCGCTGAGCTGACGGAGGCTCATGGAGTCCCTCGGGCACACAGGCACCTCCACAGGTCCCCAGCCCAACCTCCTGCTCAAAGCGGGGCCAGCTACAAGGCCTGGCCAAGTTGCTCGGAGTTTCCCCCATTCTGCTCTTGAAAATTGGTGAGTAAGGAGGCTGCGTGACCTCTCTGGCAGCCTGCCCCACTGCCGGACTGTCCTCCTGGGGAAAACAGTGCCTCCTTATACCCCTCTACCCTTCTTCCATCTTAGGCTGTTGCGCCTTGTTCTCCCACTTGCACTATTGCGAGAGCCTGGCGCCCTGCTGCCCTCCTCCAGGCCAGTGGGGCTGCTGCAGGTGCCCTGAGGCCTCCTCCTCYCCAGGCTGAGCTCCCCCAGCCTCTCCTCACGGGCTGAGTGGCTTGACCTGGCTCCAGCTGTCTGCAGCATCGTGGCTGCCTTGGTGTCTCCAAGACCCCAAGGCCTCGGGCTGTAGAGTTTGAAGAAGGCTGCTTCAGGAGCTGGAAATGCTCCTAACCCTGAGGAAGGGGCTTTCCTGAGTAGGGGATGCACATGGTTCTTCTCCTGGGGTCAGTCAATCCAGAGACAGGCCCTGAGCAATGCAGTGAGGAGTAACACTGGGCATCCCTCACRCGGGGCATCACAACCCAGTTCAGGTGTCCAAAGGCTCCAGTTCGACACCTTTAATGTACTTCAATGTACCTTCAATGTTAGCCATGCTAACCCTGGGAATAAGCTGCTTGCCCTGCTCCTGCCAGAGACTCCTGCTCTGCCAGCAAGCAGCCCCATACCTGTGCCTCAGCTGCCAGGCCCTGGCCCCATGGCACTAAACGATCCCGGCTCACACTTTTGCTCCGGGCTGAAACCTGCGGGAGCGGCAGCTGGAGCGCCCTGCCTCTGCCCTCCCTGACCACCACGGCTGTCGCCCACGTGCGATCCACTCCGATCAGGAGCCCATGCCCCAGACTCGACGCCAGGCCCCTTGCTGGGGGCTGCGCCAGAGGCCCCCAGGGAAGAATCCAGAGTGACTAAGCTCAGCTCCTGTCAGGACCCACAGCCGGTATCACTCTCTTCTCTAACCACACACTTCAGCTCCTCAGGTAAGAATACCTGAGGCCGAGAGCAAATGAATACCTCCAAACTGAGCAGGAACAGCTCTCTGCACATATCTTTCTTCCTCCCTTGTAACTCTGAAGGACTGACTGCTTTGCATGGGCGATGGAAGCAGGCCTCTCCATTCTCCCAGGAAACAGGGTGGATCCGAGTCACGCATCCCATTTTCCAGCAGCAGAACATGCAAAATGTCTTTTATCAGAGCTGTTCTCAGTCCCAAAGACATATCATACCTGCTTGCACCACTGAAGCAACCCGTATCACTAAGGTTTTTCTCAGCCGGGTTGAACTCCACTCCATCTGTCTCACCTGTTCCCAGCCTCAGCAGTCTGCGGTTCATGAGGGTTGTACTCTGTGCTGTAGGATTGTGAATTACAAGAGTTTCTCTCAAACTGCTAGTGCATTTTTTTAAGATACTAAAAATACTTTTGCAAAATCTTATCTCTAAATGTTTAGGAAATGTCTTATGCTTAAAAACCTCTTTAGTTTATTACACTAAAAATGATGATTTAAGCTTATTGTTCCTAGAATTGTTCCCATTCCTTTATGCACTGATTCTGATTYTCATAAGAAATTCAGTGGTTGAGTTGCAGACCAATTACTGTATCTCTGCRCTGCACTAAGCACACCAGTACAACAAGGGAATGACACCATTTTCTTGGGTATTCAATCACTTTTAAAAATAAGTATTAAAAAAAAAACACCAAAAACCACTTTTATTAAAATTTCAAAGGCTTATACAAAAAGTCTTGCCTTTTGGGGGGCAAAACCCAGACCCCCAAATGTCCCTTTGCCATCTGTAGGGGGCAGCAGCATACTACCAGATGAGCATAGGACACGGCACTGCGCTCCTGTCCACGCATATGGTGCGCTCCTGGCTCTCCAAACCAGGATTCCCGTGGCAGGAATTCAATGCCCTCAGTATAAAGTAACTCATCTGCACTCCCAAAAGTCCGCTCTACTAAGCTATGCAGAAGCCTGTAAAACTGCCCGTGTTGCACATGGCTGCAGCCGTTTCACTCCAGTGCAAACGCTGACCTCTCAAGTGACAGGGATTGCACTGATGCTGCAGGGAGGCGAGCCCATTCCTGCTCGGACGTGGCTACCTGGATACATGGTTGGCACGGGGGCTGTGTCCCTCAGCACCCAGGCAGTGCTGCTCAGGGCCCAGACTCAGCTGGGCCCCTCCAGAAGGGCAGGCTTTTAGCAGAACTAGCTCAGGCACTTTGGGATAGAGCAGGAGCTAGGGCTCAACTGGGAAGACAGGCAGCTCGCCCTGCGCTCAAGCTTATGGGTCCCAGCTGAGGAGCAGGACTGGGRGGTCGCTGCTCTTTCCTTTGGCTTTACTCCTGGCATCCTGGAGAGGCCACACACTGCACATACGAGGAGGCAGTTCTCGCTGTCAGTGGGTTCAAGCCCCGTCCCCCTGCCCTCCCGCTGCTCTCCAAGCGAGCAGTCCAATCCCACGGGAGCGCCGTGCGCCCCTGCAGCACATCCATGAAACCGGCACTCCAGTTGGCCTCCCACGCACACAGCATCATCTCCCGGTCCGGGCGGCAGACGGGCAGGGGACGGGGCTCCGCTCGGAGCCTGCGCTCCCGCTGGGGGCAGGGGCCAGCGTCTCCCGGGAGCGCGCCCCGGAGGAGGGCGCTGGTGGCGCCAGCGCGGCGGGCAGGCTCCCGCAGCCCTCGGGCAGGCGCTGGCGGCACAGCTCCTGCAGYGTGGGCACCGTCCGGCGGCTCCGGCACAGCGGCTCCGAGAACACCAGGGGCGTCCCGCCCATCTCGTCAAAGTGCAAGGGGTTGTTCCGCGTCCCTGCCACCACCAGCTCCAGCAGCCGGACCACGCAGTCCGAAAACCAGTTCTTGAGGCGGAAGTAGCCCTCCTGGAAAGAGATCCGGAGGCTGACAGGCCCCGTTGGCATCCGCACGCTCAGGCTGAACAGGTAGTTGCCCTGAGAGCTGTCCCGTACCAGGTAGGTGCCGACCGGCTCCTGCTGGAGCTTGGCGTGAGCCTCCCCCACCGACAAGGGGCCCCAGTAGAAGTCGCTGGCCTGAAGGATATTGAGGGATCGCTCCAGGACCTCCCACTCGCAGCTGCGAAACATCCGGAAGCGAGCGGGCAAGGTGGATGGCGCGGGGCTGGGGAGGACGCWCTGATGCTGCCGTTGTGGACGAGGAAGAGTGGCGTGCGTGTTCTGCAGGTCATCTGGCCTCCCTCTGATCATCTCTCAAAGAGCCCATGGATCCTGGAAAGATGCTCTCTTCACCATGCTTCCCCCTTTGCATCCAGCCTGCGGGACATAAGGAAAGCGAGGTAARGCCTTGCAGCCAACTGGGCAACAGAAGCCTCTTCACAGGGAGGAAAACCAGCAGCAGTACCACGAGAGAGGATGCAGGGGGATTGGTTACTGTAGGGCCCAAAAGCACAGCTGTAGGGTGGCAGGGGCAGATGTGCAGGAGTGGGATGTGCATCTTGCCCCCCAGCCCCCAAGGACCACGGCCTCCTCCGGGACGCTCCTGTGCCCGGAGGCCTCAGCCCAGGCTCCCTGCAAGAAGCATTTCTCCATCAGCAGCACCAGGACTGCTGTGGATGAGGCTGCTGACACTGACACTGACGCGCGGCCGTGCGAGGAGCGACGCTGCTTGGCCCCTTCCAGCTCCAACTGCTTTCCGCTCTGGAGCACGGGCTCCTCTCTGCCGGCAGGTGATCCTGCCCTCTCCCGGCAGCGCTCACGTGCTGGGAGCCCCGGCGCCGCTCACACGCTGGGAGCCCCGGCGCCCTGCTCCTGCCCTGCTCGGTGGGTGCCCGGTGCTGCTCCCAAGCTCAGTGCACTTAGCAAGGCAGATTCCTGCACCCCATGCTGCCACCGATCATCTGTCCAAGTCATTTCAATTATTAAAAAATAGTATATATTCTACATAATATACTATGTGTATGTGCATGTATGTGTGTGTGTATATATATATATATGCATACATAAACATAAAAACCACAGCCCCGAGCCAGAGGCTCATTCTGTGTGAGAAGCAGAGCTGTTCCACACCACTTCCCCAGGCCTGACAGGGCTGCAGCAGCTCCCCGCCAACCCCTGCCCTGGCTCCGCCGACGAACTGCATTAACGCAGCGAGCGCGCCGCGCCGCGCCGCTGCCGACACGCAGCCCACAGCGCAGGACGGGACGCGCTTCCCCAGCTCCAGCTGCCCTCTCCGCACAGCCTGCCTGGCCAGGCTCAYGTCGGGCACCGTCTGCCCCCGAGCCCTGCCCTCCTAGCGGTATCCCTGGGTAGCCCTGCCCTCCCAGCCACAGGGCGCAGCGGGGAGACGGCGCGGCGGGACCGACTCCCGTCCTTCGCCCCACCTTGCCCTGCACGCTCCCTCCCAGCCAGGCACACGCTCTCRGTCTCCACAGCCCGCTCGGTGCCTCTCTGCCCTAAACAGGCCCAGCTGGCACAGCCGTTTTGGAAAGGAGACATCCAGCCTGGTGTGCAGCCCCCYTTGCCCCCCTTCCAGCAATCCCGATGACGCAGCCGTCGGGCACGTCTCCGCGCGTGCAGCCATAAACATCATTGTCCGAGCGCACCCTGGGAAGCTTTCCCAGGGGGGAATACGCTTGGATCCTCATCCTGTGATTTGCAGGCCACAAAGCTGTTACCATCCGCAGCCCTGCCCTTGAGCGTCTCTCACTGAGGGAGGGGAATCCCACTCTTCCAAAAAAGTGGGAGGGTAGGAAGGAGTTAATTGAGTTGAATATTTTTTTCCCCATTAAAGTAAAAAAAAAAAAAAAAGGCAGCAGTTGGGAGCTGCTCAGACGGTTCAGCAAGTCAGAATAAATCTTTGGGGAGGCTGATTTAGTGAGCAGAACGCAAGTAAACACAGGCGACACGTGTGGTGATTGCAGCCATCTATCACCCCGCAAAGCTCGGCACTGCCGGCGCCACAAGGAGCTGCAGCCTCTGTACTCCCCTCCTTCCCCCCTCTGCTGGGGGGAAAGCTGCAGAGCCCTTTAACATTGGTTTCTGTAGGAAAAGGAGGTTTTTACTACTGTTACCTGCCTGCAAGGCTGCAGCTAAAGAGACGGGGAGACCGAGTGGGAGCCTTGCTCCCACCAGCAGCCTCTCCTCCCCAACAGCAACTTCTCTTGGGTCCAGACTGAAATTTTGCCAGTCTCGCAGGTCCTGATTGGGAAACAAATCCAAAYAGGAAAACAAGAGCAGGCAGCTGTCTTTCATTTCCAGACTAGTTTTAAAAACAACAAATAGACGATTTGTTCGAGGCTCCAGATGCCATTTGACAAAAACACAACAGCTTGTCCCAGATTTCAAGCTTGAGTCATTCTCCCAAGCCCTTTAAGAAAAACCCACTGCTACTAGAAGTTTGACTGAGTAAGAACTGAGACCATGTCATTGTTTCGAATTCAAAGTAAGTGCAAAAATAGCAGCCTCATAATTTGTACACTTGGTTCAAAATCTCCATATGGGTCAATCCTCAGGCTGCATGAATTTGTTTAGTTTCAGGGACCCACTTGATGGGACAGCAGCAGATGACTGTCTGGCTRGCTGACCCTCTAGAAGCACCTTCTGATACTCCCTTCCCAGGTTCACTCCTAATGGGTCAGCACACACACTACGTGTGTATGGTCTCCCATTTCAATCTAAGAAAAAGCAGACTCCTAAGATTAGAAATTAGCCAGAGCAGGGGGGTGCCAAAATACATATGTATAATTAGTTCTGCTTCCAATTTCCCACAGAGAGATTTGCTTTTTACCTCCTAAAAAAAAAAAAAAAAGCCCCAAACCAATGCTCAAACACATGATCTCCTCCCTGCTGCAAGACAGCAAGAAGAACATTTATAGCTAGAGCAATAAMCTGAAAAAAGCCAATGCCCCGGTAATTAAAAGGCCGGATAAGTTCCCCTAGACCTTCTCTGACTTACTACAAGTTCAAGTGCTTTTCAAAGTAAGTGCTCTCGACACTGGGCATTTTGTTTGCCTCCCCATTCGCTCTCCAAGAAAAGCAGAGTATTTCATATACGAAGACAACCCCAGCCTAGGTGACTGTATACAATCTGTAGTGCCAGCCAAGCCAGCTCTGCACCCTAGGGCTTAATAAATCTGGCATGTTCAACAGCAGCTTCAAGTACTCAGATCTGATTTGTTCATGCACTTTGATTTAGGACACTTGAAAGAGCTTACCTCTTTAAATTTACTAGCCATAAGGATGAGTTTCCGGACATCAGGCCTGGAACCGGTCCAAATTCCAGGGCTTCAGCACAGCATTTTCTACATTTTGCAAGGCTTTGCTTAAGAGCAGGTTCTTCCTTTGGAAGGAAAAAAAAAATA